AAAACGAGGAGAATATGCTCACAGAACAGAATCAGAGTTCGGGTGGGAAGGGACCTTGAAGGCCAGCTAGTTCCAACCCTCCTGCAGGGCGCAGGGACATCTGCAGCTACATCAGGCTGCTCAGGGCCCCGTCCAGCCTGACCTTGAATGTTTCCAGGGATGGGGCATCTACCACCTCTCTGGACATGTTCCACTGTTTCACCACCCTCATTGTAAAAAAAAATTCTTCCTTGTATCTAGTCTAAATCTCCCCTCTTTAAATCCATTACCCCTTCTCCTATGGCAACAGGCCCTGCTAAAATGTTTGTCCACATACTTCTGTAACATGACATTTTTGTAGGTTTCTTCCCCCTCAGTTCTCAAAATTTTCTTTGTTCCCGTTTTTAAAATACGGATAGCATCTGAAACCGTGCTACAGTAAACCATGCGTGAGTTCAGCTGACTAGGTAACAGTTTTGCATCTGCTATTAAAATTCTAGTAAGGCACGAAGCAAAACCAAGATCCCGAAGCTTAATCTGGAATAGAATCAAGGTGGAACCTGATGTCTCTGGTACTGCTGCTCACTATCAGCCACTCGGCATGACTTCAGGAACAACTATTTGTTTCGTTCTTCAGTGAGCTACCCCACAGATTTGTGCTTTTCATAAATGCATATTATAAGCCCGTTATCAATGAATCTGCAAAATCTGTCACAGAAATTAACCTACACCAAAAATCCCACTGGCAAAGCTGACCATGTAAAGGAATATTAAACAGATTTTAGGACACCAGCCACCTCCTGCGAAACGGCTCTTTTTTAGAACTTAGGTATTTGCATTTAACCTGTATCAGCTATGAAAACATAATGGTAATTTTTTTGTCTGTTTGCTGCTCAAAAATCTGATTTATTTTCGACTTTATTAGCACCTTTTGCCTAGTGTTGTAAATAGACAGCAGGTTTAGATACAAAACAATTAAGTATTTCGCTCTTCTAACATGCCTGTCTTCTAGATACCCAACAGTCCAGCAGCCCCACCTCCCAGCCTGCAGATCATGCTGGCACAGCACTTCAAGCCAACTACTCTTTGCCCAGTTTTACTCAAAATTTGAGACTAACCAAGCTTCTGTTTAAACTGAAATATGGCTCATTTCAATGGCAGTGGGCCAGAAAGCACCTGGCCCAGGCAGCAGAGTTGGGGTACAGCACTGAGGAATTCAGGGCACGGTGAAAATTCTTATCCATGAAGTAAGTAACAAGTTAATGAATTTAAACTACAGAGACAAAGTGATCTGCTTGACAAGGAAAAGCATCATTTTTACTGCTGTGGAATTTGGTCTCATCCTCCTCAAAGGTCTCAGAATTCAGTGTACACCATAACTGCTGGTTTTCATCACCGGTTTTACTGAATGCAATCAAACCAGAGCAGTCTGCAGCAACAGGTCTACCCTGGCACAACTCATGCCAATAGCTGTGCTACGAGGAAACGTAAAAGCAGGAAACTACCACCAACAAGAGAGACAAAGGTATTTTCTAGCTGTTACACCAGTGAGAACGAAGCTTGACCACAAATAACACAGCACGTTGCTTTATCTTCTCACTGTTAACACCAAGCTATCCTGATTGCTAAGAAAGCATGTGGCTCCACTCCATGGCAACATCTCACCCTTCTGCTGCGTTTATGGCACATACATTGAGACTTTCTTGGATATTTAGGCTCTCAGCTTAGAACATCCAGTGAGGACATCAAGCTTTCAAGTATGAGGCATTTTCCTTTCAAGAATATAAATCCACAGACACATAAAATATCAGTAGCAACTGATTTATTATCTGCATTCCATGTTCTCCGTTCCCTGGTACTGAATATGCCTGTATATGCCAAATCACAGTGGTTAACGTAGGCAACTCCAGACGGCCAGAAAAAAGACATAGGTTTTGATTATCATCCTTTTTCCTAATCATAAAACAAAATAGTCTCTCTCAAACGAGTTTTTCATGATGTCAAATCAATAATGGAAATGCAAACCAGAAATTCTGAACCATTTTGTCTTCAGTGGAACCCCTGTGTTTAAACAGACGTAAGAATCAAGACATCTCGGAACGCGAACTCCGCAACAGCTAACACCGACTCATTCAGTGCACAACCTTGAATTCAGTTTCCCAGTGTTCCTAACTTCTCAGTGTTCCAAGCACAAGGAAGTGGTCAAGGTCAGGCTGGATGAGGCTTTGGGCACCCTGGTGTAGTGGAGGGTCTCTCTGCCCATGGCAGGGGGGTTGGAACTGGATGATTTTTATTAGGAAAAAATTTTTTACCATGAGAGTTGTAGAACACTGGAACAGGTTGCCCAGAGAGGTGGTGGATGCTCCATCCCTGGAGACGTTCAAGGCCAGGTTGGACGAGGCCCTGAGCAACCTGATCTAGTTGGAGATGTCCCTGTTCCTTGCAGGGGGGCTGCAGCTACACAAAGAACAGAGCGTGCTTACACTCAGTGCTGGGCCAGTGTTTTCACAAAACTCTGCATCTTACCCATCGTCACAGCCCATTAGCCATATTTCGCAACAAGGTCTAACCTCAAATGGCACAATGTCCTTCTGGAAACCAGATCTGGATTTTTTAACGTCTGAAACCACATGAGCTCAGAATTGGATTAAGCAATCTAGTTTATTTCGTACTAAATGTTTGTCCCTGGTGTTCTCTACAGCCCTCTATCAGAAATACTTCAGCGTTTGTCCTGAATCCTGATTGCAGGGCTAGTGATGACAGCACAAAATGGTTTTCTGTGACCCCCCAAAATGACAGCAGACATGTCACTTGCATATATAATTACTACTAATTTATGTAGTGAAAAAAACACAGCAAAATTTTCCTATTAGAATTTTTACCTGGAAAGATTAAAATTAAAAGAACACATGCATTTAGACTGCGCACACAAACCCAGATATTTACAAACACTGGAGTAATTAGATGGAAATTCAGTTTTAAGACTGATGTGCAATTCCTTTTTTTCTTTTTTTTTAAAAAAAGCGAATGAGATGCTGCTAAGAGGCCATACCCCTTTCATAAATGCCAAGCGAAATGTCTTCCAGCCTCTCTGTTATGAGATGTTTCATGCAATGGCAACAGAAACAAACTGTTAGGGCTGAAGGCACTGTGGGGTAAGTCAACCTACTATCAACTGATACAGAACTAACACTACTGCACAGCAGACCAGCTTGGATTTCATTGAGAATCTAACTATTGAGACAAAGTGAAACCTCCATTTGCTTTTGGCTTTGCTGTGACAAAACTCCAATGATGCCTTTTCACACATGCAAGACTGGCAGCAATCCATTAGCAATTCGGATATCAAGCCTTGTTCAGAAAAAGCCAGTCAGGGTCCATGGTCTTGAAAAACACTCCCTGGGTTTTAATTGTTCGGTCACAACAGGAAACAATGCTAGCGTCCACTTTTCCCTATTTCAAGGAAGGTGTCCTTTTAAAAAATATTTTTAATTAATAGGGCAAAGGGAAATATCCATGATCGTATTTCTTGAGACAATTAAAAGGTAAGGAAAAACAGACTGATGAAATGGTGCATGAATGTCTGTGAGAGAAGAAAGATGTTTAAAAGCAGAAGAGAGCTGTGGAATCTATTCAGGTTGAAGAAATCAAAGAACAGGTTATACCTCAAGGAAATACATCCCTCTATAAGGAATTTAAAAAAAAATAATTTATGCACTGTGAAAGGATCAGAGCAGATGATTAACTCAACACTAAAATTCATAATTTACCGCCACACAAACTAAAAATTCAGCCAACTCTTTCCTCTCCTTTTAAAGCCAACTAAGATTGGTTTTGTAGTCTCAAACAAAAGGTTGCAGGTACACAAATTTTTGTTCAATTTAGCATCTGTAAAATTTTGGGAAAACACTACCATCTTACCTCTGCAACTTCCTTCTGAAAAGTTAACGTCATCTGCGTCCTGCCATATACAAAAGGTCCATCCTTTTTCGAAACACTTGCAAGCCATTTGATGATTAGAGGAGTTGAAACACTGAAGGGCAGATTCCCAATGATATGGATATCTGGTGGCTCTGTTAATATTTGATGGGAGAAGAACAACTGTCAAAAAGTTTTGGGTAAGATTTTGCCATGAACAAACGTGTGAGTAAGAATGGAACGTACGTATAAACCTAGACTTAAAATATGAAAACAATTTTTATCGTGCCACGCCAAAATTATGCCTTTCCACTTACACTTGCCTTACACTGACAAAACCGTGTTAGAATTCTCAGTAATTAGTTGGAAAAAAGCGGTTAGTTTTGGTTCTCATTTACATTTGAATAAATCAGCAGCTTTCAGCTGATTTTCAGTTAATCAGTACATTTCAGCTGAGCTACCCCAGAACAGCAAAACCGTAACAGCAGCAAAATTACAACCGTGTTTCCATGATTTCAAACTACAACTCTTAGGTAGACAGTAAACAGCCACACTCATCTTCTGGCCAACACACTCCTCCCAGCGGTATTTTATGGCGTTTTCATAATGCCCAAAACAGTCACCGAGCTCAAACCTGACAGAGCTCTCTGTCTGCACAGAGTCCTCGAACCCAAAAGGTCTCAGAGCAAGGCTGAGACTTATCCAGAAGGGTCCTTGTGAACGGATTGTTGGATCCTGCACTGTGCCAGCACGTGTGCTGCAAACACAAAGCGGGCGTTTCGCTAGCTGGAGCCTTCTGCCTAAGGAGTGCAACACAAAGGCAAGTGTGCTGTTTCTTAGATATACAGCATTTAATAATCACATGAATAAATTTGCATCCTTATTATAGAATCATAGAACGGTTTGGGTTGGAAGGGACCTCAAAGATCATCCAGTTCCAACCCCCCTGCTGTGGGCAGGGACACCCTCCACTACACCAGGTTGCCCAAAGCCTCATCCAACCTGGCCTTGAACACTGCCAGGGATGGGGCAGCCACAGCTTCTCTGGGCAACCTGTGCCAGTGCCTCACCACCCTCTGAGAGAAGAATTTCTTCCTTAGATCTAATCAATATATGGGTTCCATTTGCTTTTCTGATTAAGGCTGCTGAGATCAGGGCAAGTGCTCGAGCCAGTGGTCTCCTGGCTCATGGCAAAGCCTGGTGCTCCCAAGGTTCCCGACTCCTAAGAGATGATGATACCAAATTCCAACGGGTTTTCTGGCACACTTTACTTACTATGCACTTTTTAGGCTGCGCTACTTCCAGCAGATTTGTGATATCACACATGTATGAGATGGCTACGGATCTTTCTGAAACCCACCCGCCTTTCAGATTGCAATAGTATTAAAAAAAGTGTATCTTGCCTCTAGTTAGCTTCAAAGACAACAAGGACTTACACATTTTTTTCAAGAAAGGAAAATTTTTAAACACTGCACTGCAGTTTCATATACGCATTAGCTCATGCTTTTGTGAAGCACTTACCTTTTGCCATGAGGCAAGCACAGCTCGCATTTTTTCAAGGTGAACATGATGTGGCAAGGTCTTTTATGTCCTAAGTCAGAAAGCACTTTATTGCTCTCCAGTCACTGCAGACAGTGACTCTACCATAAATTAAGAAATTTGGAAAAGGGGCCCAGGAGGTCATCTCTGGTTTATCTAATAATATTACATGTTTTAAAAGAGAAGTTAAATAGAGTCCTATGAGAACATCAGATTTGAAAAAACCCCACCACAAATCTCTAATTAGATTATACTTTTGCCAAAGATATCCAGCTGAAACTAAAGAAATGAGAAAACTACATTTTTGAGGACAAATTTCCTAAAAAGTTTAAAAGCAAGTTACAGAAATTTCTTCAGTGGAATGACAACACTGGTGGCTTCTGGCTTCTTCAAAAAGAGGAAGAAGCTGGGAAGAAAATATACCATTTGATTTGCTTTCATGCTTTCCAAGAGTCATTATGGTACAGTCAAGACACCCTCAGGTTAATAACTGCAAAGCTCCTCAATGTTGACTAAGGTGAACGCCACAGAAATTCCACTGAAGCCTTAAAAAGAAATAAACCAAATCTAGATACTAACCGTCCTCCCAGTCCTTTTTTAAGTGCTTTGGAAAAGCCTTCTCCATCTTGTACGTCAGGATATCTCCGTGCACAATGCGCACTTTTCCTGGAGCTGCTTCAGATAACATCTGTTTGTGAGCAAGCAAACAGAATTCACAGTGAGCAGTAACCAAACTGACTTCCAGTTTCGGTCACAGCAGG